CATTAGTGGGGTAATTGGGAGGGGGAATCGTAAGGAGGAGAACTGTAGAATGTGTTGTTGTCAAAATAAGACATTCCTTTCTAGAAGCCCAAGATCATCCTTTGTCTCCGCACCTCTGCACCTGACCGGAACTAGGCGGGTGGAAATGCCAGGGTGGTAGTGGAAGATTGGACCCTGTGATGGACTTGTGGGTGTGGGGACAATCGTGAACTTTCAACTGGGTGGAAAACCCAGGAAGCTTTCAGATTCGGGTTTTCCTCAGATGTACCAACATGTCTCTCTTAATAAATTGGAACTTTGAGGAAAGCTCTGCCTTGGACTCTGATTTAATTTTGGATGATATTTGGAACGCTGACATACTAGCTGCAAAAATATAGAATTGTATAGGCCACGTAACTTCAATATCGGGATTGAGTGATAAACATATACTACCATCTGGTGGAAAAGACCCCAAATTCCCAATGTAAGATACCTCTTTTTCAAACAAATCAAAGCACAAAGGCATATTTCCCTCTATTTCTAGCATTCAAAGAAATTTGGGGTGTTAAACAGGCCACTATTTTTCTGAGAAAGGTTTGGTCCTTCTCCATCTAAGAATCTTAGCACTTCTCTTGCTGGGTACGATTGTAATACGTCCAACTTTCTGATTTGGTGTTCAAAAAACCCCATAGAGTTGGAAGTGACAAATCAGACACCCAGGGGTGGGCTGCTACGGGTTCGGCTGGGTTCAGGAGAACCTGGAGCTAATGTTATGGCCGGTTTGGAGAACCTCAAAATCCTACCCTGGCTGGCCCCGCCCACCCCTCTCCTACCAGGAGTCTCTACGCGGCCCGTTTTGGATGTGAGATAAGTGCAAGGCTCGCGTGGAGACTTGGGAAGGGGGGGGAAACAGACCCCCTGAAAGTTCTGGAAAGCCGGAAGGGCCTCTGGAGCCCGGGAGTGGCAGTTTTCGCCCTCCCAGAGGCTTGAGGAAAGCTTCCGGAGCCTGGGGAAAGTGAAAACACCCCCTCCCATGGTGCAGGGGACCTACTAGGCCACACCCACTATGGCCATGCCCACCCAGCAACCGGGCAGAGAACCTGGTTGCTGGAATTTTTGAAGCCCACCCCTGCAGACACCATTGTATTCAACATTTTCCAGTGAGTCCAGTTCTGTCTTATGGCTGAAAACACCATAGAGTTGGAAGTGATAAACTGGACACTATTCTTGTTCAACCCGCTACCGAAAGTCCATCCCTCTCAGTTGTTAAAACAGAAACGGAATGAGCCAACCAGACACCAATTTGTTCCTCACTCCAAACCAAAGGTTCCCCACACTACAGAACAAGGTTGCATACCTCAACAAGGAAGTCGAAGACCCGGGAATATAGGCCTTTGGCTAAGGCATCGCGCGTATAAGATGCTTGTTCTACATTGAGGGTTACGTTAATGGACTCTGACCGGCCACCCCATTTGCTGTCCATTTTTCGACTGGTGAGCTTCTCATCTAGGCGGTCCTTGTCGATTCCCAAAAGATAGGCAGGAAAAGCTAGCACTGGAGTGGGGAAATGGGAAAAAGACTCCTTTGGCATCTCTGGAGAAGAGGATATGTCATCATCTATAACATTTGCTCATGTTTCAATGCCTTGAATTAGGGACATGTGTAGGAGGTAAAGAAAGTTCAGTTCAGTTCAGTTTATT